GAGGTGAGAATAGAGGCAGGAGACCAACGAGGAGGCTAATGTTAAAGTCACTTCATTCAAGTTTGACTCCCTTACCTTTTATAATCTGGTCTTGTCTATACTTGGTTTTACTTGTGATATGTACAGCTTACTAGTTTGCTCATCGTTGGGGTGGGATCTGTGTCTTGTAGTTTGGTAGCCTTGAGTGACACCTGTTGGGGATAATTGAATAGTATATTGTTATTCATGAAGTTTAATACCTCAGTATGGTGGTAAATGGTTATGATTTCTCCTTTTGAAGCAGGACGGAAGTGGAGGGCAAATGTTGTCCTTTAATTATTGATTCATTATAACTTCTTTCTTATTATACATGCCTCAGAATCAGAAGCCCTAGGTTCAAGACCTTGGGAAGTGCTCTTTATGCTTACAAAAAGATTTTTTTTTTAAAAATTGCCCTAGAACCTTTCCAGTCATGGGAATTAAATGAATTGATTTATAATTTCCAGGTCAATGATTTCTTAATTTAAAAAAATAGCTACGGCATGTAACTTCTCCATTTGGTTAAGGCGTGGTGGTTGCTGCAAGTCCTCACAGATAATTCCTGTTCTTACCTTACCGACCGACTCAAAATACTAAGACTTTTTAACACTTAACTAGCTTTTTTCTCTGTTGCCCTAATTACCCCAAGAACTGTATATATTTCTTGTTTATGATTGGTTACTATCTATGTGATCTTGGGCAAGTCACTTAAACTCTCTGGGCTTCAGTTTCCTCATCTGTAAAATAAGGGGTTTGGTACTGAATTCCAAGATATCAAACACTCTAACTCTATGATTCTATGATGCTTTTTTTTTTCCTGAGGCAATGGGGTTAAATGACTTGCCCAGGGTCACACGGCTAGTAAGTGTCAAGTGTCTGAGGACTTATTTGAACTCAGGTCCTCCTGACTCCCAGGCTGGAGCTCTATCCACTGTACCACCTAGCTGCCCCTTCCATGATGCTTTTAGCTGAAAAATAAAGCAAAGTCAAAATTGAAGATGTTTCTAATATTGTACACTGAATGTAAACCTTTTCATTTTAGCCATTCTAATCCTTGCTGACCACAGTTTACTGGGACTTTTATTCCTGTGGACATGGGCTGTTTTCTTATACTTATCATTTGTAATTTGCCATTGCTTCCAGTTTGCATTACTTTGTTTTCAAGCTTAAATTTTTAGAATTTTGGTTTTTTTTTTTTAATAAAAGAAGTATTAGCAGTGTTAGAATGGTACAGGTTCTATCAAAGTGGAATGCCTCTAAATTTTTGAAGTGAGTTTTTCCATAGGCCCATTGTTTTTTACCATTCTGTAAGAATATACATTTCATTTTAGGTATTAGTCTCCTAAACTCACCAGGATCAGTGCTCACAAAGACACAAAACCCATAAAAGAGGTCATATCAGAGCTGAAACTGCACAGAGGCTGAATAAGCTCAACAAATATCTCTCATGACCCTCTCTTCCTTTTCATCTAGACGTATCTATTGTTAACTTGTGCCACGGTGATTCTAGAAGTCACCTTACCTATACCTGAACTCTAATCTCTCACTTTCCTACTTGAATCTTTGTCTATCTATTCTGTCATGTATAAAGAGAGCTCTTTATCATTTGGATTTGGTAGTAGTGGTGAAGAGTCACAGAAATTATAGGAGACAAGTAAATTTATTTATAACTCATTTATATGATCAGCTAGGTGGCGTTATGGATAGAATACTAGCTCTGAAGTCAGGAAGACTCATCTTCCTGAGTTTAAATCTGGCTTCGGGCACCAATTAGCTGTGTGACCCTGGGCAAGTCACTTAACTGTTTGCCTCAGTCTCCTCATCTGTAAAATGAGATGGAAAAAGACATGGCAAACCACTCCAGTATCTTTTTGAAGAAAACCCCAAATGGGGTCATGAAGAATAGGACGCAACTGAAAGCTACTGAACAACAATATTTATTGGTGCTCCTCTATACAGCTGCATCTCGATAATTTGGGACTGACCCCATTTATCTCTCCCCCTTCCCCTCTCCCTCCTCCATCCTTTTCTCTCTGTAGTAAAAGGAGAACTGGTCTCAAAGGCAGGAAGTCTTGGGTACAAGTCTGGAAAATCACTTAACCTCTCTGTGCTCTAGATTAGAAGTTGGAGAGAAAGTGCTTACTTGCATTGGTTGAGGGAGTTTTATCACCTGGGAGTTCTTTGTAAGATCACAGGTCCAGTTGCTACACTAATCCCTAAATGCAAGGCATAGAACAGTATAGAATAAGTTGCAAGGGTGAAAGATTCAGAAAGAGCCAACTATGGGTCTTAGCATAAAGGGAGCTTAATGAAGACAGTTGGGGATAGATTGATGAAGGTCCAGTGTATAAGGTTCTGAAAATTAACTATGTGCCTTAGATTTTAAGGTTTCCTGTGATTTTTGGCAATCAGACTAAAGATCAATTAGTAGTATTTCTTCCCATATTTATCTAAAGATATCAATAAAAAATGGGAATTCATTATAAGTTGGCATCAGTTTTGAAAGTGGTATTTCTAAAAAACTGCCCAACAATCAAAAGGCTTTAAATCCTCCTCCCCAAAGAAATGACCATATTATACTTTGATAACAGGTACTATTCATATATTCATGCTTGCCGTGAATTTAGGAGGTAGATGGAGTAGAGTCTGAGAGATACTGTGAAAATTTGTCTCTATTTGGTTTTAAGAGAATAAAATGTTCTCCAAATTTCAGTTTATTCATCCATAAAATAAAGATATTTATATTTTCATTACTCACCTTCTGGAGTGTTGGCCCTACATATGTGTAAGACCTAGTAATATTATTGAAACAACATTATTAGTTGACACCAACTTTGCTTACTCCTTTTGCAAGTGACTCTTCCTATTTTTTCAGTTATCTGGGAAGTTCATCAGGCATTTGACCGCCAAAGCCAGAGATTAGCAGAGGTAGTAAATAAGAGGGAGAAAGATTGTACTAAGTTTCTTATTTGGTAGCAAAGAGGGGATGAATAATATGGTACGTTATCCAATGAGTTAGAGGCTCTCTGAATCTTGATAATTTAAGATGTCAGGTTATAGATACTCCTTTTGCTGCATAATTCCCACAACTGGATGACATTTTAAAGCTGTCATTTGCTTTAATGTGCTATATGTGAACCTTATGTAAGTGAAGATGATTCAGTCAAGGATCTCAGCTGTGCTTAAAGGAGAGGGGAAAAAGCCTGGAGAATCATTGCTACATCGGTAGAACTTCAGACTATATATATTCTCAGTGCCTAATATATAACCCCACTGCCAGGAAGGATGTTTGAGAAGGCCTGAAGGACCAGAATAGGAAGTAATGCAAACAGCTCTTGGACTGAATTGCTTTGCAAATTGCTGAGTTGATCTCTCTGAGTCAGCATATCAAACCTATGCGAAGTTAGAAAGAGAATATATTTCCTTCAAGCAACTGCTCTACATATGTGAAGAGGCTTGTTGATGCCTATTTCATCCTTTGTAGCAGAAAGTAGGTCATAGTGGGATAATTTAGCTGCCTGTTGATTTTGGTATTCATCATGAGTAATATTATGTCAAAACCTTACAACACGATGCCCTACTTTCTTCTTACCTGGGGTTAATATGCTCTGTGAGAATGTGTGATTGAAGTTACTTGGATCTTAGTGTTCTTCTCCGTAAAATGGAGGTGTTGAACTAGAAAGGCTATGAGGTCCCTCCCAATTCTGTGTCTGTGATCTTACCATCTTATTTCAGCCCAAGAAAATTCATCGTGTGGACATTTACAAAGCAGTCATTTACAATGGGAGGCAATGTGGTGTAATATAAAGTGCAGGCTCTTAGGTCAGAGCCTGGGTTGAAACTTGCATTAAACCTGGGTTCAAATTTTCATCCTGTTTGGTCCTGAGCAAGTCTGGTAACCTCTCTGAACTTCAGTTTTGTTGTTTTTGTTGTTCAGTCATTTCAGTCGTGTCTGACTTTTATGCCTCCATTTGGGGTTTTCTTGGCAAAGGTCCTGGAGTGGTTTGCCATTTCCTCCTCCAGCTCATTTTACAGATGAGGAAACTGAGGGAAACAGGGTTAAACGGCTTGCCCAGAGTCATATAGCTAGTAAGTGTCTGAGGTGGAATTTGAACTCAGGTCTTCCTGACTTTCGCCTGGCTCTGCATCCACTGCTCCACTTCAGTTTCCTCTTGGGTAAAAGGAAGCAGTTGGATTAGATGACTTTTTAGGCCCCTTCCCACTCCAGAGCTATGAACCTAAAAGTATTAGACTTGGACTGTCTTTGAATCTTGCTTGTAATACTTAGTATCTGTGTGACCCTGGGCAAGTAATTTAACCTCTCTAAGCCTTACTTTCCTTATCTGAAAAATGGGGATAATAATAAAAGTGGAACCTCAGAGGGTTGCTGTGAAGATTAAATCAGATACTGCGTGGAAAGTGCTTTACAAACCTTACTGGTCTATTTTTGGGATTGGGACTGGACCTCTGATTTCATTGGTATAGGGAATTCCAGGATGAAGAAACTCCTTTGCCAGTGAATCTTCTCCATCATTTACAATCTTACTTAGAGTCCTCGGTACATCTGACTTATAGAGAGGATATGTCAGATTGGTGTTGCTGTTCAGTTGTTTCAGTCGTGTCTGACTCTTCATGACCCCTTTTGGGGTTTTCTTGGCAGAGATCCTGGAGTGGTTTGCCATTTCCTTCTCCGGATCATTTTACAGATGAGGAAACTGAGACAAACAGGGTCAAGTGACTTGCCCGAGGTCACACAGTTAATAAATGTCTGAGGCTGGATTTGAACTCAGGAAGATAAGTCTTCCTGGCTCCAGGCCCAGCACTCTATCCACTGCACCACTTAGCATTACATAAATATAATTAGTATAAATATTTAAGCAGTGTCTCTTAAACCCAACTATAAATATAAATTTGAGTCTTTGGGGATTTTTTAACCTATGTTTTCTTTATTTAATTGTTTTATGTTTTTGATATCTGGCCAGGAAACTTCATGGTGTTGTGGTCGACCTGCCGCACAACTGTGTTCAAATCTGTCACCAACAGGTTCATTAAAAACCTGGCCTGCTCAGGGATCTGTGCCAGCCTGGCGTGCGTGCCTTTTGACATCGTCCTCAGTGCTAGTGCCCACTGTTGCTGGTGGAGTTACACCATGCTCTTCTGCAAGGTGGTGAAGTTCTTACACAAAGTGTTCTGTTCTGTGACTATCCTCAGCTTTCCCGTCATTGCTTTGGACAGGTAAGATCATATTTATTGATCGTGGCCTTCCCCTCGTTTATTGTTTTTTTTTTTATTATTAAAGAAAAAAATATCAGCAGCCCAAGACTAAATGTGATTGTGAGTGTTCCCCAAAGCACTTTTCAGCCTACCACCTGTCAGGAATATAGAGCATCTGAAACAGTTACTGCAGCATGATCTACTTTTCTATTGTTAAGCAACAGAAACACATACACACACACACACACACACACACACACACACACGGGTGGATTACATCATTAACATGAAGTAATGAATACTGTGTGGGATACTGAGAGTGGCAGCTTAGTGAGAAACAGTGGTATTTGCACCATCATGTGTAGTTAGTTGTTCATCTGACTTTATAACTGTGCAAATAGGTTTTTACTACAGATATGAAAACATTTCACATCATGCCAAGAAATGACCCCACATTTAGTTGGGCCTGGTTAAATGATTCTAGTTTCCTCTAAATTGCCTCTTTTCTAAGGGTTATGTAATGTGGATGTTACTTCCCTTTCCTTTGCTTTTTCAAAGGTGGAAGGGGTAGATTGGAAAGAGGACTGGACTGGGAATCAGGAGTCATGGGTTCAAGTCCCATCTCTAACATTCACAAGCTGCGTTGGAAGGTGGTATTTCTAGAGGAGTCTGTGGGAGAGTGTACCCCTGTGGAAATTAGGAGAATTCTCTATTTCACTTATCTCACTATACTTTTAGTCGGTGAGTCAACAAGAATTTATTAAATGCCTACTATGGGCCATGTAAGTGTGCTAAGCACTATTAATTAAAAAATAATTTTTCCTTTAAATTAGAAATTAATCTGCTTAAATCTGATAGAAAAAAATCTTTTTTGAGAACCTGGAGTATGGTTGTAAGTGGACATGAATCTATTTCCTTCTGTACAAAATGGAGATAATGATATCACCTATCTATCTCATAATGTATAATGAGTCACAAGCCTTCAGTGCTTCATAAATGGGGGCTATCTCAGCCAGATTATGTATGTGGCTTCACGTTAACCAAAACCATAGTCAGAAATTACCCATAGCTGTGTCAACCCACCCACAGATTATTTTACTGAAGAGACAGGCTGACTTGTTCCATATTGTTGGGAGCTCAGGATTCTTGATGTTGACAGCTTCATGAATATCATGTCATGTTTGAAGAATTCACCCCATGTGACAACTAAACTGGGCCCAGGTGAATGGCTTTTAGAATTGTTTGCTGAAGATACAGTTTCTGCTAATAAAGGACTTCTAAGAGATTAAAAGAGAATTAGGAAGAACAAAAAATACAAGATGATATAGTATGCAATTAAAATAGCTCCAACCTGATCTATTTAAACTATAAGTTGATGCTCTCTCCCAATGGAAGTTGGATAAAGGTACAGACTATTATAATTTCCTACATCAATTTAACTGATATAAAACAATGTGGAAGCTAAGAATAAAAACTTAGGAACCAATTTAACCAGCAGATACCAAGAGGAGTTATATGGCACTCAAGCAACATAAGTTTAGGATAGAAACCAATTTTTATAATGTTACTGAAGAGAATAGGGAGAGATTATAAATACAATGATCTCAAAATAAAGAGCAGTGGAGGAGGGAAAAACTAATTTATAAACAATTAGCATGAGACCCAACTTAGCCATATCACCCTGAGAGCATTTAAGGCCTATATGAAGAGAAGGATGACAAACAAATGAAAAATGAGAAAAGATCTGTAATTTCTAAAAACAAAACCATTTTCTCCATCACTGATACTGAAATTCCCACCCATGTTTGGATTCTAACATCATAGTCCTTATAGTGCTGCATGAGGAATTAGAAGTAGTAAGAGAAAAAAAGATAGGAAAAACATCCGGACTAAACCAATTGTACACAGAGTATGTCAGTTCTAGAGACAACATAATTTTGAGGTTCTTGAAGGACCAATTCTCAAAGTCTTTGAAAGAAGGAAAGATATTGTTGGAAAATATTCCAGACATAATTAGACAATTAAGACAGATATCAATTAAAAAGACAATTGAGAAGATATCAATAGTTACCAACCTTTAGTTGTATTTTCACATCTCTACAAAGTCTTCAGAAGAAAAATTTGCACGCAAATCAAAAGATCTTTGATGAAAATATGGGAAAGGAAAGGCTTTCACAAATGATATTCTGAAGGGGACCATATCTGTTTAGTCATAAAATTGATGGAAAGGTGAAGATAAACCAAGATCCCATTGTACTTATAGTTCATTGATTTAAAAAAGCATTTAATTCAGTAGAATATTAAAGGGTTTCCTATAACAGTGTTTCTCATGGCTATGTTAAATCATATAAAGTTCCTTGATAGGTATAACAAAGCTGACTTTATTTGACTCTCTGGTTATCAATATCAATTGAGACAAAAACAAGGAGACATATGCTCACCAAAAACATTTGACTTTGTGTTTCCACTGTTTTGGAAGAAATTCAGTGCAGAGTCTAAATGCAAGATTGATTCCCTATGGATTTCAGGGTCCTCCAAATGCTATATGTGAATGGCATGGTAGAGCAAGCCCTGGAACATTACTGAGCCCCTTCAATGAGATGACATGTTTTAATGACACAAACTTAAAGAAATTTAGCCTAAATACTCACACAAGAAAAATCAAGCAGATGAAAAATGCCTGTACTATCTACCAAGACAGGAAGTTAGATGGGGAGACTATAGATGTATGGTCCATCCGTACACAGATCTCGAGCAGATAGTTCAGTCAATGAACAGTGCTGAAAAGACGAGTAGGAGAAAGAAAACATGTTGGATTGTATCTGAGAAATTACACAATCCTTTTAGTGACCTCAACTTTCTTCTTGAAACAAAAATCTACCTTTTTAACACTAATGTTATTTTGATGATGCTAAATGGCTAGGAATCATGGAATAATACAATATCTAAGGAATCAAATGAGTACTCACCTAAAAGACAATGAGGGGAATTAATAGTGGGCACAAATAGGCTGTGGCATAATGGCCAGGGAAGAATTGCATTAGAAAAATAATGTAAAAAATGTCATCAAGCATACACACATATATGCACATATACATACATATATATGTTTGGAATGAGAGGTGGGCCAGTCATAAAGTAAGAGCTAGGAATAACAGTGGCTGTTTTGGTATTTGTATATTATCAAGAGGCCTAAAAGATGGTTCCCTAGAATGTTTGGGTGAAATCTCTGGGGAGGATTTTATCAGAGGACATGGACAGGAATTACATAGTATAAAAAGGCATGAATAGATTGCTCCAATGGATTCCTCCATTGGAGGTGGTGTCCACACCAATGAAATCATAGATCCACTTAAATATTGAAAGACGATTTCGAACAGAGCAGGAATAGATGACTTATCGGGTCCGTAACTGCCCTTTGTGTCTAAATAAGAATATGCACATACACACGCACACCCCTCCTCTTTTTAAAGTAGAAAACTTGTTTTTTTATTGTTATTGCTATCATTTCCCATGAAAGGGAAGAAAGGAAACAACCATTTATTAAATACCTACTATTTGTGCCAGGCACTGTGGTAAGCACTTTACAGATCCTCAAAATAAACCTGGGAGGTAGGTACTATTATTATTATCCTTATTTTACGGTTGATAAAACTGAGGCAGAGATGAAGTGAATTGTCCAAGGTCACACAACTCAGACATAGTGTCTGAGGTGAGATTTGAACCCAAGTTTTCCTGACTTCAAATCTAATGACCTATCCATTCTGCATCCATAAAAGGGGCTGGGGTTTGATTACAAATTCAGTGCTAGTAACTTAAGGAATAGGATCAGATGACCTTGAAATTCCCTTCTAGTTTTAAATCTATTGTCCTATGTGATCTCTGATTATATGGGACTAGAGCTTTTAGACAGAAATTATTCAATGATCTGAAGAATTCCATAATTCCCCAAGCATCTGTATGAAACTCTAACAGATGGTCACCCTAGAATATACTAAGGGGGGGTTACAGATTTCTAAAGCTTTAATTATCATTAGTATTTTTCTTCTTTTGAAATGATAAACTACCACCCCCCAACTTCTTTCCAATCTGATTTTGGTATAAATCTAATTTTGTAGGTAGTTAAAATCACTTAATTACTGTTAGGGATATTGATTGACCAACATTATAAAGGCGAATATTGAGTTGGCCCTGATTTAACTTGCTGAATTGATTTTGTGAAAGTGCCTGACCAGAGTCCATCCTTCATTCTGGCCTCTTTCCAGATCAATTCTGAAGCTAATCATATTTAATATAGAAGTAACTGTGTGACAGTGTAGTTTGAATCTGAGCATAGACATATTTCTTTTAGTGGCTGTGACATCTGCAGGAGTAGATAGTATCATAAGTTTACATTCAAGGCCTCTAAGTTAAAATTCTGGAAATTATCTTTTATTCTTGAATTGAAAAATAAATATATCTTCAAGGGAGAATGACTCCTCTCACATCACAGGGGTGCTTTGGGTGACTGTTCATGCCTGTGATGATGGAGCTTTACATAACTTTGAATATATTGAAATTATTTTGCTATTGTTCTCCTCACATAGCAATCTTGGAATTTAGAGTTGAAAGGTCAGGTAGTTTGTGGCCATGTATTCCAACCCATACCTGAAAAAGAAACTCCACTACAATGTAACCACTGACTGTCCATCTAGCTTTTACTTGAAAAACTCCAATGGGGATGGGGAAAGGGAAAGACCTACAATTTCCCAAAGCATCCCATTCCACTTTGAGATTGTTCTAGGTGTTAGGAAGATTTTCTTGACATTAATACAACATTTTCCTTCTTATCCTTTCCACCTATTGCTCCTTCCCTGTGGGGCTCTCCTCCATAAGACAGACCTTCAGATACTTGAAGACACTTATTCTCCTAGTCTTCTCTTTGACCAATCCTAATAAAAAACATGGGAAAGTTTCAAAAGTGCGAAGGACAAGATTATGGAATTGACCTTGGACAAATTACTTAACCTCCGTCATCTGTATAATGAAAGAATTCTTTTCGGCCCTGAAATTCTATAATTAGGACTCTAGAATTTTGTCTCCCCACTCATTTAGGTTTCTGTATTTGGCTGGTGATGTTTCTAGAATTGTGCAGCAAAGGCCCTAGTACCTTAGATAATGCTTCTGCACGTTGTTCTAGCTCTACTCTGCTTTTAGTCATTTAGTAATCAACTAATTTAAAATAATTTTTCTGTTGTAAAACTTTTTTTTTCTTGTATATCTTGCAGGTACTACTCAGTCCTATACCCATTAGAGCGAAAAATCTCTGACGCCAAGTCTCGTGAGCTGGTGATGTACATCTGGGCCCATGCTGTGGTGGCTAGCATTCCTGTGTTTGCTGTGACCAATGTGGCTGACATTTATGCCATGTCTACCTGTACAGATGTCTGGAACTATAACCTGGGCCACCTGTTGTATGTCCTGATCTATAACATCACTACTGTCATCGTACCTGTGGCCATGGTCTTCCTCTTCATGATTCTCATTCGCAGGGCCTTGAGCGCCAGTCAGAAGAAGAAGGTCATCATTGCAGCTCTCCGGACTCCACAAAATACCATCTCAATCCCTTATGCCTCCCAGAGGGAGGCTGAGCTGCATGCTATGCTGCTATCTATGGTGATGATATTCATCTTATGTAGTGTCCCCTATGCCACCTTGGTTGTCTACAGGGTGGTGCTCAATGTCTCCGATACATCAGTCTTCCTGCTACTCACTGCCATCTGGTTGCCAAAAGTGTCTCTCCTGGCCAACCCTGTACTCTTTCTGACTATAAATAAATCTGTCCGCAAGTGCTTGGTGGGAACCTTGGTTCAACTTCACCGCCGATACAGTCGTCGCAATGTGGTTAGTTCAGGGAGTGGGGTCCCTGATGGGACCCTGGAACCCAGTGTGCGCTCAGGAAGCCAGCTTCTGGAGATGTTCAACATTGGACAGCAGCAGATCTTCAAGTCCACAGAGGATGAGGAGGAGAATGAGATCAAGTCCATTAGCTCCACCAACTACCAGGTAAAGGAAATCCCCACCGATAGCTTGGAGGAAGAACAAGAGCTACAGTTTGCCACTCTGCCAGCACCACCTGGTACTGTAGATCCTATGGGTCATGGAGTGCTGGCAATGCCTGCAGAGGTCGAGGGGGCCCCTGAAAAATATTCCCTACAATTTGGCTTTGGACCCTTTGAGCTGCCTCCCCAGTGGCTCTCAGAAAACCGAAATAGCAAGAAACGGTTACTTCCTCCGCTGGGGAACACTCCGGAGGAACTGATCCAGACCAAGTTGACCAAGCCAGGCAAGGTGGAGCGGAAGATCAGCAGAAACAATAAAGTCAGCATCTTTCCAAAAGTGGATTCTTAGAAGGGCTGGAGCCCCGCGGCTCAGCCTGCTTGAGGTTGGCCATAGGGTGCGATCCCATGGATCGGCCCTGCTATCTCTTATGGTGTGTGTGCCAAATGCAGAGATAGGAAAGGGAAATATGTATCCAAGTATTATTATTATTTTAGTGTATGTCTCTGTGTCACCAATGTTAATGGTAAAGTTCACATTCTACTTTGTGGAAACTACAGAGGTTCCGCCCTGCCCCTCCATACATTTCCCCAGGACTTCTTATCCCCTCTCCCATATTCACCTGGGAGGTTAGGAACCTAAGAAAATCACTCAGCTGTCATAGGACAACAGCTGTCTGAAGGAAGCTCAAGATAGCTGCAAATAATAGGTCATAAGGACAGGACCAAACGTCTCATGTCCCTAAATATCACTTAGACTGTTAAGAGTTTTTTTTTTTTTTAAATCCTTATCCAGCCACCTTTTCATCATAAGAGGTTAAACTATTTTCACTGACATCTCACAATGATTTCTCATTACTTACACTGTGATATAGGGAGGGGATCCATCCCCTCCCCATCTTATACATATGGAAAATGAAGTACCCTGCTATCACCAGTTGAGGAAAAGATTAACCAGTGACACCTAGCACTGAAGCTTCACAGAGCAATCCACTAGGTTACAATGAGTATCGGAGAGGATATATGGAGCTGCAAAATACTGCATCCTCTTCCCCCTCCCCATCTTGTTACAGCATCAGTAACTGAGAGCGGCAGCTGGGTATAAAGAGCTGGTCTCAGAACCAGGAACACCAGGGTTCAAGTCCTTCCACGGACACATACTGGTGCAGTAATTCTGGGCAAGTCACTTAATCTTTCAGTGCTCTTGGCCACTTACTAAAACTGTAAGTTGCAGAGAAATTACCAGCCAGTTTTGGTAGAGGGAGTTTACTCGCTGAGAATTCCGTCTATTATGCTGATCACAGGTCCAGTCTTCATCAATAACTATTTGTCTGATGGTCAGTTGTGTCCAACACTTCCATGATCCCATTTGGGGTTTCCGTGGCATAGAGTAGTTTTCCATTTCCTTCTCCAGCTCATTTTACAGATGAGGAAACTGAGGCAAACAGGGTTAAGTGACTTGTCCAGGGTCACATAATTAGTAAGTGTCTGAGGTCAGATTTGAGCTTAGTTCTTCCTGACTCCAGGCCCAGCAATCTATCCACTGGACCACCTAACAGTCTCATCAGTCACTGAAAGGGACATAAAAGAAACTCAGAGCTAGGTATCAAGAGAGACTGAGAAGAAAAAAAAAAGTGTCCAGAACACTGTAGTTTTTCTTCTTCTTACTGAATTACGTGAAAGGTGCCAAATGAAGACCAGTAGGAGTAAAAGTGCATTAAAGAGATGTAAATGGGTTATCTTTTAAAAAAGTTTTGTTGTTTTTTTTTTTTGCATAGAACACATTCCCTCTTGAAATTATATGACAATTTCTACCCAACTTTATATAAACTGGATTCTCTGGAAAATCAATCTGAAATGAATGAGAAGCTGAAACATCCAATAAATACTTATTTCTAAGGTTTGCTTCTCTCAGATGAATTTCTGGTGTGAGACTGAAGGTGGTTCCTGGAAGAGGGATGGCACCTCTTCTAGTCACTTGTACCAACAAGGTCAAACCCTCATGAAAAAAAAAATAAGCATTTCAGGTAACTGAACCTGTACTACCCAAGGCCATTAGACTGTCCTGAGGGTAAAGGAAGTGGATTGCTCTCATTAATGCTCATAGGAGCATCAAATAAATCTCTGTTCTTCCATACCCTTTGCCTAGATTCTAAATGCATTGAGTTCTCCTGCCTTTCTTTTTTTGGTCAGAAAAGCCTGTCTACCCTTCAGAGGGGTTTCAGGCCCTCCTTGGATATTCCTTCCCATCTTTCCTTTCTCTGATTGTGTTGTCATATGTATTTTGAGTGTAAGCTTCAAGGCATTACATTTAGCAAAACTACTGTCCTTTACTGTGGGGGGTAAAAACCCATGTTTTTGTTGCAAATAATAGCCCTTTTATTACCTCTTCTTATTTGTGTGTCACCTCTGGCGCAGTTGACCTAAAGCACAAATAGCGACTGTTACATACACTCTCAAGGTTTGTACTGCTACTCCCTCTGTGCATGACAGACCTAACATCTATAGCTTTTTGCCAATGTATTTAATGTGTTCCTTCCAGTGTAGCTTTCAAAAACATGCAAAGTCATTATAACATTTATTTAAAACAAAAAACAAGCGGGAAATTTTGCCTAGTTTACACAAATTTGCCAAACGTGGACATTTCTGTGTTGTTTTGAAAAAAAAATAGGTATATTATAAATTCTACTGAGGCGGGTTATGGTCGGCATATTTCTTAGATATGTCTGAAGCAGATCGATGGCTTCTGACAGATCGATGCAGAGTGAATTTCTATGACATAAAGACTAACATTTTAATAAAAATGTAAAAAAAGTTTGTAAACTCAAGAAGAGTTGTATGGATTTCTTCTATTTTCTTTTTTCTCATTTATTGACTGGTGTCACTGTGGAGTTATACTTTTCCATAGTCATTTATGCAGTATAGAATGATACAGTACAATTTTCTTGTGGTATTTCATAACTCAGAGAATTATAAAGAAAATATCCAAAAGTGGACACTTACAGACTCTTCTAATAAATTCTGTAAAGATGGGCAAAAATTGTTCCAGATTTGACTTTACTGGATGGAGCACTGAGCAAAGGAAAGGAAAGTGGGGCAGGAGTGGAAGGGAGCTTCAATCTTCCTTTATATTAGAGATTTTTAACCTTTTCTTAACTTTTTTTTATGTCATAGGGCTGACCCCCTTTTCATTCTAGCTGAGCTTACAGATGGACTCCTTTTTAAAATATTGTTTTTAAGTGCATACATAGGATCACAAGGGAAGTCAATTATATTAAAATACAGTTATTAATTAAAAAAAAACTTGTGGACCTCAGGTATATTACCCCTGCTCTTAATATAACTATAAAAAGCTAGTGTAATTTAACATGCTGATGGCCAAATATTTTTATAAAGTGGCAGTTCTTGGTTTTGCCAGTATAATAATGATTAATAATGATAATATGACCCTTGAACAATTCACAATTCTACAATGCCATGTGAATCACCAAATAAATGCAAGTTAAACTCTTGGCCAGAATATTTGAATGACCAAAGCTCTGTTCTTTTGTCACATGGAATAACAATTTCTTTTAAACCTACACAACCAGAGAACACTAATAAGCATCATTTTTCACACTTTCTATTGCTGTCTCTTGGTAGGGTTTCTGCTTTATCTCACTGGGAGAGGGAGAAAACTGAAATTGTCACCTCAGTCCCAGCTTTCAGTGAACAAAGGGACACTGTGTGACATAATGGAAAGAATATGGGAATTAGAATTAGAAGATCAACATGTGAATACTGATTTTGAGTCCCTAGTGCAAAGTCACACAAATCATTTCACTTTCCTGGCTTCAGTTTCCTTCTCCAGTCACATGGCCACAACTCTAGTTCAGGCCTTCAGTCACCTGTTGGCTGGATTAGGACAATAACTTTCTAATTGATCTCCCAACCTCCATTCTGTCTTCTCTCAAATCCTTCCTCCATACAACTGCCAAACTGATATTCCTAAAACACAGGCATGACCATGTCACTCCCCTTGTATTGGTTCTAGGATAAAACACAAACTCTTCTGTTTGGTATTGAAAGCCCTGCACAGTCTGACTTCAATTTATCTTTTAGAATTGCTATTACTTCCCCTCACAAACGCTACATTTTGGTCAAATGGAACGACTTTCTGATCCCTGTACATGACATTAAACATCTTATCTCTGTGCTTTTACACAGACTGGGTATCAGACCTAGAAAACTCTCCTCCTTGGAAGTCCTGGTCCCTACAGTGATTAGCTGAAGGGCCACCAGCTACATGAAGTCTTTCCAGATCTCTATCAAATTTACTTTTTATCCTCTTAGCTACGTACATGTTATTTTTCTCCAAGAGTGTAACCTTCTCGAAGACAGGGGTAGCCTTGGTTTTTGTCTTTGTATCTCAGTGACATAGCTCAGTGCCTGGCACGTGTAAGTGTGCTTGTAAGTAAATGTTGAAATGAATTGAATCTGTAAAATAAAATGGGGTTTGACTGGAAGATCCTGAAAGTCCAATCCAGAGATAAGTCCACTAATTCTGTTTTGTTGGAAAGCCTGCCTGCCATATCCTAAGTACGAATTAGCAGGGCTTAGTATGATAATAAAATCACAGCTCAGTAGTGTACATTGATTTCTTAGTTCAAAGATAGAGATTTAGCACAGACTCCTGGGAAAAGAAAATAGCAGGCTAATTATTTGATGTGTTAAATTGACAACTACAGGTCAAACTGAAATCTGGAATTGGCTGGCAAGGACAACCGATGCTTGTCTTCTGCTCTCAGCCCTTGCTGATCTAGAGCGTGGAAATGTTTCCTGCAACTGACTCACACCAACCACTCAGCATCAGAACCAAGACCTCTCCAAGATTTCTGAGCCCCATCCTGCTGGGAGGAAAATACAAATCAATCAACATTATTCCCCACCAGTATTAACATGCATTGTAAATGATTCTCTACTAAGGTGATTCATCCCTAACACTTATTAAATCTTCTGTGTTCTCAGTAGATTTCTACAGCCAGAATACATGTGAACTAATGGCAGATGATCAGAATCTATGAGACTAAATTTGGAATTTAAATCTGTACTAAGATCCAAGGCAAGAAAGAAAGAAAAGAAAGAAAACAAGCATTTATTAAGTGCCTGCTATGCAGCTGGGTGGCATAGTAGATAAGAGTGCTGGGCCTGGAGTTGGGAAGACCTGAGTTTAAATTTGGCCTCAGCCACTTACTAGCTGTGTGACCCTGGGCAAATCACTTAATCCTGTTTTCCTGTTTCCTCATTTGTGAAATGAGGTGGAGAAGGAAATGACCAACTACTCTAGCATCTCTGCTAGGAAAACCCCCAAAG